TGGACTGTGGTTGAACTCAGCCCATTTCTTCATTGCTGCCTTTCCCCCTCTTCCACTCACCAGTAGACCAGTGTGGTCGCCAGCAAGCTTACATGCCTGCTCATGTGTTCCCTTTGAGTTTCAGTCTTAGAGGGGAGTTTGTCCTGAAGGATCTTGATTGCTTGCCTTGATGGCTTCCCAGCGAACAGCTGCTTATTTTTGTAGTAGCCAGTCATGCTGACATTTTTGTTTTGGATTTTTCCTGATGATCATTCTTTGAAGATGTATCTAGTGTTGCTCTAGCTGTGCCAGGCTGGTCTGCTTGCTCTTGCTAGTGGGAATGTCACACCTCATAAGGTCTGGATGGGACTCAGGATTCCACCTAAGGTCCTACTCTGCAAAGGCTTTGAGAGAGGTCTATATCACTGGGCAAGTTCTAGAACTCCTTTTAGGTATTTCAATCAGTTATAGGCTGAAGACAGTCCTACAAGTTTTCTGTAATCATGTTTCCCAACATTCCTTTCTATCCCACTCTAGTGTCTATTTTTCAATAGTAGGCAAGAGAAACCAATATTCATAAGATAGTCAAGCATTTTAGTATTATTTCCCCTCTTCAAACTATGCCTAGATCCCTATAGCACAGAGCCCTCTTGTTCCAAGGTTGAGCATGCATCACTATTTACCTCTGTCCCACTTAGGCCATGCAAACCTGCCTCGGTGTTCCCCTATCTATCTTGTTCTCCCACATCCTCTCCCTCCATGTATTGCCCTCCCCAACACCTGAACTAAACTTCCCCACCCCAACCCCTGTTGTGGTTACCTTATATTCCATTATTTCTTCCCTCCATTTAAGACAGTCTATTTTATCCTGTAATCTATCTGATCTTCTCACCTCTGTGTTTACCTTCTTTCACATTGTAATTGTTTGATCATAGACTGACCTCCCAGATCCTCTGTTCTTATAATTTTTATTTTGTTTTTGACTCTTCCATTTGTCGATTGAGTTCAGGGTAATGCTGCCACATATGTCATTCTCTGGTTGTTGTCTGTTTTTGTTGGTTCTCAGTCCACAGAACTTCCTTTAGGATGTTTTTCATCGCAGGGTTGGTTTTGGCAAAATCCCTTAGCTTCTGTTTCTCCTGGAATATTTTGATTACACCATCGTATTTGATTAACAGCTTTGCTGGGTAGAGGATTCTTGGGTGGCAGTTTTTTTCTTTCAGGGTTATATATATCTTTCCCCATTGCCTTCTTGCCTGATGGTTTCTGCTGAGAGATCTGAGCTTAATCTGAGTTGCTTGCGTTTGTATGTTACACTTCTCTTTTCCCTAGCTGCTTTTTATCAGGATTCTGACCTTATCCTTGATTTTGGAGAGCTTGATTATTATATGTCTTGGTGATTTTCTTTTAGGGTCTGCATTTCTTGGGTTCATTGAGCTTCTTGAATGCTTATCTTTTTGCTTTTCAGGATGTTAGAAATTTTTTCTTCTAGAAGCTCCTCAACTATCTCCTCTGTGGACTTGTGTGATTCTTTCTGTTCCGGAATGCTGATAATTCTTAAGTTATTCCTCTTCATGTTATACAACATGAATCTTAGGCCTTCTTCGGATTTTTAAATCCTTTTTTGTGCTTGCTCTTCTGTCTTAGTAGTGTTGAGAGATTTATCTTCTAGCTCACTAGTTCTGGCTTCTATCTCTTCAATTCTACTCCTTTGCCCTTTCAGTGTATTGTCAATTTCTGATATTCTATTATTAATCATTTGGACCCCTTTCTGTAGGTTTTGAATTATTTCCAATGCTGTATCTATCTTACTTGATTGTTCCTGTAGCACTTTCCTGACTTCTTCCTTATTTTTCTCAACTCCATTGTATAGTATTTTGATACATTTTACAGTTATTTTTCTGAATTCCTTTCAGGCATTTCCAAAGCCTTCCCATCTTCCACTATGGAGTGTAGGTCTACTTCCAGCTCATTTGCCTCAGTCATTTTATCTCATTTCTGGACATGTGCTCATATGGTCATCTGTTTCTGTTTTGGGGGCATATTCAGGAATTATCTGTGGCCCTAATACTTAGGTGGATGTGTATTTTGGTATTTTTTATGCTTTCTTATTGCATCCAGGTAGATGTGATCAGGAGATGGGCTTCCCTATTCACTCTTCCTCCTGGGAAATTTCAAGATGCCACTGTCGGTCATTGTGACATAACTCAGGATTTAATTTTAGGCCTATTTCCTTTGCAGTCTGCCTGTACTGCTCCACATTCCCCTTCAGGCCTTTCTCCTATTAATAAACAGTTCAGGGCCAGCTGTTGACGTTTTACACTGCTGTTTCGTTTTAAGTGGAAACTTCCGCTTTAAATTTTGAGGAGATCTGTGCACATGCATAGTAGAACCCTCCGGGGGTGAGGGTGGGGTGTCCACTTGCTCAGGCACCCCCTCTAGTCACCAGAATGGAGGTACGCAGCCAGCAAGAGACCAATGAACAAAAAAAAGGAGTCCCACACCATTATCTCCCCATTCTGTCAGGCATCCGTGGCTACTCTGATCCTTCCCGCACTTGTTCTCTCCCAAGATGGCAGCTCCAGGAGCCACTGAGCATCTTAGATTAGAAAGCAATGGAGTTCTTGCTTCTGCTACAAATCCCCCTAGCTGTAAGTCTTCCAACCTTCTAAATATTCCCTTATACGTGGTTCAGAGTTCTGGCACCATCCCCTGAGCCTGCTTGGTGTCCAGTATTCTATTTTATTGCTGACAGAGCTTCTCACTGCACTTCTACCCGATCCACATCTTGTTTGTTCTCCACCACTGGGAGCGTTTTGAACTTTAAATGACACATTTTAAATGATTAGTTAGTACATTTTATCCCTATTTTGGCCAAGGGTCATGACCAGAATTGTAGGTATCCCTGTAGATGAGCATAGAGCTACCAGAAACTAGCTGTATGTCAACCCTATACCAACAGGTAGAACAATGGCACAAATAGTTGTCAGTAAACACTTTACTGAATGAGTAAATGAATAAATTTGTCACTTTTTACATTTATATCTTTTCTGAAATTATTATCTGTAATATCAGTGTTCCAGCATAAAACTTTGTAAGAAATTATTTTAGACAGTTTGAGGTTGTAACCAGTTTCCTTCTAACAATAATTAGGACTCCTGGTGTGGCACTGTAGGATCAGCACTAGACTATGAACCACAAGGTCGGCAGTTCAAACCCACCAGTTATTCCTTGGAAACACTATGAGTTGAAACTGACTCGACAGCACTTATAACAGCAACAGTATAACATTTATTAGAAGTTAGTTTGGTTAGAAACGGAATTTATGGTAAAACTTTGTTTTTGTTCATTTGTTAAAGACTTTTCCAGAACTGTGTTTTGTATTTAAGTAAGGGTGGAAATTTTATTTACAATCTTTAATTATGTTGTTCTTAAGTGCCATCGAGTCAGTTCCTACTCATAGCAACTCTGTTAAGATGTTCCAAGAAGCATCTGGTAAGCTTGAACCTCTGACCTTGCAGTTCAAACCAACCTTGCAGCCTAGCACCTTAACCGGCAACACTACACCAGGACTCTAACTATATCTTCTCTTTAATAGCACATGACATCTATCTCTTTGAGAACTGTTGCAGAATGAAACCTTTTATAATTCACACCAAGATTCTCCTTTAAATCAAGAGCATTTTGTCTAATTATTTCCTTGCTTATTGTTTCTAAGCTGCTAATGTTTCTCTTTCATGTTACATATATAGTCACAGATTCTATTTCTCTTTTTCATGTTTGTGAGCTTCCTATGTAATATGAGCCATTATTTGTGCAATTCGATGAAAATTGTGCTTTTCTGTTTGTGTGTATTTTAACACATTGATTCTTTACTAAGTCTTTTTTTTTTTAAACAAATACCATTGATATTTTACGTTTCAATATAGTCTATGCAATTTTAGAAAAATCCTTTGGCATTATGACACATTATTTTATCAGCTTTTATCACCAGTTCAATAATGCTGTCCTCATACATAATCAATTTTTGGTCATTGTCATTTTGCTAACTAGATTCTTAATGATTTCTTTTGCCCCTCAAAAGTTTCAGTGAATAATATTTTTGAATGATTCCACGCCCCCCAGAAAAATGCATGTTGACTGTTAGAAAAAGAAGAAACTATACATAAGCAGAAACTTTTAAAGAAAATTTACCCACATGCTATCACACAGCAATAGCCTCTATGATAATTGTATAGCTTTTACTTAATAATATATATTGTAGAATTTTTATGTCATTGCCTATATGAATGGAGGAATATTAGACAGTATTTTTTTGAATTATCCATAATTCAAAGAATAATACCCTCTAGTGGGAGTCCTGGTGTGGTGCTGTGGGTTAATGCACCAGACTGCAAAGCTGTTTGAACTGCGAGGTCAGCAGTTCAAGTTCACTAGTTGCTCATAGAAAACCCAACACAGGGTCGCTGTGGGTTGCAACTGACTTGACGACACTTAACAACAACAAAAAAAAGTGGGCTATTTGGGAGTCTTGGTGTGGCGCTGTGGGCTAATGCGTCAGACTACAAAGTCGTTTGAACTGCAAGGTCGGTGGTGCAAGCTCACCAGCAGCTCCTCGGATACCCTATATAGAGTCACTATGAGTCGGGACCAATTCGACAGCACACAACAACAACAAAAGTAGGATATTTGAATTCCTGGTTAAGTTGTTTTGTATTTTTCCATAATAAACAGCACTTTATCAATATTCTTTCTGTACTATCTTTGCATATCTCTTCTGTACTATCTTTGCATAACAATTTCTGTAGCATCATATTCCATAGAGCCAATTATAAAAGTAAGATTTCTAAGTTAAAGGATAAGCAAATTTGTGATGCATCTGTATTTGCTTATTTTATGAAAATTATATCAATGATCTTCTTACTTGTTAGTTCTACTGTTTAAATTTATTTATTCTCAGTTCTATTCAGAGAGATACCCTATGATGTTACTCCCCCATCTTGTTAAGTCTTGCTTTGTGTTCTCTTTGTTTTTAAGTTAGAGTTGGTTCTAAAATTTTGCCTGGTAAATTACCATCTAGTAATGCTTTATTTTTCTATACCTTTCACTGGTAAAATATTGTAATCAAGCAATTTTTGCTGTTTCTTTACCATCAAAATGTTTCTCACTCAGTTCTTACCTTTTTAGAGTTTTTTATGGTATATTATTAGTTGGGAGTATTAAAATCATCCTAATTAAAAGCATATTTATTGTACTATATGTTAGCATGTCAATCCAACCTTATACTATTTTAGAATATAATTGAAGTGTATGCATGGCCCCAAATTGTTTTTCATCTTGTGGCAGTCCAGCAAGAGCATCGCTGCCAATTCTATTAGTGTCGATGTAATCCTAAGAAACTAACCAATTTTGTTGGTATTTTTTTTTAAGGTATTAATTAATCTTCGCAACCCAAATTATGAAAATGGTGATTCTCTTAGTTTTAGGACTCATTTGGGTTTAATTCAAGTTCCTCTGAAAGTAAAAGACATCCCTGAATTGGTAAGTAGAGACATTTGAAAATGAATTAAAGTATCAGGGATAGATTTTTAATTATATTGGGATGCTCCAGACCAAACATTTGCCATCGAATCGATTCTCACTCATAGAGACTCTATAGGACAGAGTGGATGCCCGTAGAGTTTTCAGGGCTGTCAGTCTTTACAGAAGCAGACTGCTTTAACCACTGTGCAACTAGGGCTCTTTTATTGAGATGAGAGAGGAGGGCAACAGAATGAAGCACTGAGATAAAGAAAGCACTGACCTGCAAGGTCGGCAGTTCACACTCACCAGCTGCTCCTAGGAAACCCTATACAGGGTTGCTATGAGTCAGAATGACTCCAAAGCACTTAACAACAACAAAATATTCATTCACTATACAAACTCAATAGATAATATCTGAAACTAGTTCATTAAGAAATAGCAATATGCACTAGTTACTTAAAAATAGAAATTAAATACCAGAAGTAAAATCTGAAAGTGGGTTGTTCCTGAATAGTGGGCCAGCTATGATTCTGTGTGTTGGGGAGAAAGATATTAGAACATTTCTAGTTTGTGGTTGTTTTTTAAGTCTTTGGACTGATTTGACTTGCACTGTTTGCTGCGTGTAGCGACATTGATGGTTAGGTGATTAGACTCTGAAACCAGTTAACATGGGTTTAAATTGTGACTCTGCTACTTAGTTACTATGTGATTATAGTAAGCACTTTGTCTCCCCTGTGCCTTAGTTTCCTCATCTGTACAATAGGGATGATGATAATACCACATAAGAGTGTTGTGCAAATAAAACAAATAAAAATACACAAATCATGTAAAATAGTACTTGGAACATAATGTACAGTATATAGCTGCAGAAAGATGTGTACCTGTGCTTTTTTAACTATGCAAAGGCTCTAGACTGTGTGGACCACGACAAGCTATGGATTACATTATGAAGAATGGTATTCCAGAGTATGTAATTGTGCTCATGAGGAACTTGTACATAGACCAAGAAGAGGCAATCATTCAGATACAATCAGGGGATACTGAGTGGTTTAAAATCAAGGAAGATATGTGCTGTGGTTGCATTTTTTTCTCTATACTTATTTAATCTGTATACTGAGCAAATAATCTGAGAAACTAGATTAATGAAGAAGAATATGATATCAGGATTAGAGGAAGACCCATTAAAAACTTGCAGTTTGCAGATGATACAACCTTGCTTGCTGAAAGTGAAGAGGGCTTAAAATACTTGCTGATGAAGATCAAAAACTGCAGCCTTCAATATGGACTGCTCCTCACTGGAAAGAAAATCAAAATCCTCACAATTGTGCCAATAAATACCATCATGATAAGCAGGCTTGAAGTTGTCGAAGACTTCATTTTGCTTGGATTTACTATTAACACTCATGGAAGCAGCTGTCAAGAAATCAAATGATGTATATTGCATTAGGCAAATCTGCTGCACAAGACCTTTTAAAAGTGTTCAAAGATATCAGTTGAGGACTAAGGTGTGCCATAGCCCATGCCATGGTATTTTCAGTAGCCTCATGTACATGTTACACGTGGACCTCGCCAGATGGAACACATAGAAATCAAATTGACTAGATCTGTGGAAAGAGAAGATGGAAAAGCTCCATATCATCAGTGAAGACAAGGCCAGGGGCAGATTGTGGAACAGACCATCAATTACTGATATGCAAATTC